TCACCAAAACATCGGCCATTAATCGCGATTGATCGTATGATTTTTCACGATTAATTGCCGATTTCCAGTACATGGGTGGTAACACACGCTAGACCGTGCACATATCGAATATACATGCAGAAAGAAGAAAAAAATGTGCAATGTATTAAAATGAAAGGTTTGCTTTCGCCTGTAGTTTCTCTTACAACTATTATTATCACCTAAAAATTCGACTGAAAGCTTGTCTAACAAAAATCGGAATGGTATTCTGAAATGGAAGAATGGCATTCTAGAATAAAGGTATTCTGGAATGGGTACACTAGCCTTGTGGGGCTTTTTCCTCCTTGCTTGTAATTCATAATTGTTTCGAACTCAGTCACCATAAAGTGGACGCGAAGCCAAGACATATGCTTCATTGCGTTGACCGCTGATTGTTATCTGGAAAAATGCTTTGTGCCTTTTCTTGATGCATTGTTTTGCAACCATCGAAGCATTTGATCAGGTTCAAGATAAAACGGTGTGCATGTTGACTTCTATTCACCTTGCTGCCTGGTAGGCTTGTTGTTGTTTTTCTGCTTTGTGTGCTGTCTGATAAAAGATTTGTTTTATAACATGTAGCATAAGATCTTCTGCACTTGACTGATATACTGAAATACCGTACGCACAAATAAAGTATATGCTTAATACATTTAAATATTTCCTTCCAGGATGGTCAAATAGTGGTAGCATGAATAGTGCACGATATCTGCACACAGCATCCGTGTTAACAAATGGAAAAGTGTTAGTTGCTGGTGGATATAATAATGATGCTGCTATTTTAAATACTACTGAGGTGTATGATCCGTCAACAGGAGCTTGGACAACTATTGGCAGCACGATTACTGCACCAGGGTTTCATACAGCATCCGTGTTAACAAATGGAAAAGTGTTAGTTGCTGGTGGAAATAATTTCGATTATGGTCTAGATAGTGCAGAACTATATTATGCATCATAAATCGGCTAAACGATAGGCGATTTTTGCTCTTTGATACAAATAGTCTAGACGAGTGTGTGTGTGTGCGCTTCTAAAATAAGTTTTAGCCGCGGCGACGTGTTTCGACCTCGCTTAAGCGTCTCATAAGAAGGCTCGATATTTCTGCATCCTTTTTATTTTTTCTCTTCATATTCAATTTTTTATAATTTAAACATGTGTATCTTCTTTTTGTATAGCAAAGAGTGCGTTCTTGCTTGCTTACTTTGTATGATATTCGATGTGTTGCTTTTCCACACGAATTTTAGTGCTTTAAAAATTGCATCCTGGCTTCTGTTTTTATGAGTTCCTTCATTGCAGAATGAATCCAGTATATTTATCGTATTTGAATGCTATTTCTTTGTTGTTTTTCGTGATCCCACACAAAGAATAGATATTGAATGGTCATCGTGATCTGTTTCGCCTGTCGAGAAAGACTTAACGAAAACAATCAGCGAACTAGCAGACAAATCGAATACATATTTTCGAGTTATATGCACGTTCGCACAATATCGATTAACAATTTTAAAATTTAAAAAGAAATGCATCGGACAACCATCCAAGAAAAAAATTTTTTCATATCATATTCTTCATTCTAATAGCTGTCGATAAATCTAAAAGTTTGAATAAGCGTTAAAAGCCTAAAAATGTTCTTAAAAATCAAAAGTTCTCGAACAATCTTAAAGTTCTAATTCAAAATAATGTCTAAAACTTCTTCAAACAGTTCTCCACAAGTATGAAAGTCCTAAAAAGTCTAAAAGTGCTAATAGTTTCAAAAGTTCCGGTAAATGCAAAGTTCTGAAAAATCAAAAAGTTGTAAAGGTTCTGGGTAAATCTAAAGGTTTTCTATAGTTTAAGAGTTCTAAAAGTTCTAATAATTCGAATAGTACCAAAACTTCTCGAAAAATATAAAAGCAGTCTGCTATAATTTTAGTAATAAAACATTCATGACTAACGTTATCAAATGCTTTTGTTGAAGTCTAGTAAAACAGTACGAAAAATCTTATCCTTTACCATTCCTGAATTGATCTTATTAACTACATCTAATAATAAAGAAGTTGTACTATCTTTCGCAATAAAACCTGATTGAAAAAGCTGATAGAAGCCTCTTTTTGACGAAGTGTCTATTAAGTTGCCTATGCACTGAACGCTTTTAACAAGGTTATAGGTCGATAATTTGAATGATCTAAAGAATCGCTGCTCTTGTATAGAGGATTAATAATACCATTTTTCCAACTGTCAGGAGAAATAGAAGTTTCAAATGCCTCGTAAACTAGTTTAGAAATAGGTTTCACGATAGAAGGTATCATATTTTTTACCATACGGTTAGTAATTGTAGATACACATCCACGATTTGGATCTAGATTACTTAGAACTACTTTAAAATCTGGTTGCTGAACTACAAACTTATTAATCTTAACTGCAGATTCCTTTAGAGAATCAGCAACTCTAGGATTTATAAGAGGTCCAGTCCAGGTACACACTTTCGCAAATTAACGGTTCAGAATCTCTACTTTCTCCTGTTTATCACTATCACAATAGTTTGAACCACCATCATAGATAGATTGATATGTTTTTATTTCAATAATCCATATTCTATTTTATTCATACTATCTAACAACGACCTGTAATACGTTCCTTACCTAAGGTGTATTTGACCAGACCCATTCACTTGTTCCCAATTAACTACTTTATAGTCATACGCCGTTCGCTGTGCTTTACTTTTACAATATAGAGTTTATTTTGAATTCTATAAAACTGTAATCGCTTTATCTATCGGTGGTTGAATACTCACGTCACAAAGAAAAGAACAGTTTCATGATCTAACTAAATCTAAACAGGTAAGCGATGCTTTAGAATTATCAGAACTTTACACTTTTTGAGAACTTTTAGAATTATGGTATATTTTTAAGAACCTGAACTTTCCGAACATTTAGAAGTATTATAACTTTTCTACCTCTCCGAACATTTAGACCTATCGAGAATTTCTGAAACTTTCAGAACTTTGAGATTTATCTTGAACTGTTAGAAGGTCTCGAGCTTTTTATATTTTTCGAGAATTTTTGGTACTATTCGAATTGTTAGAACTTTTAGAACTCTTAAACTATATATAAAAAAACTAGTTAGTTTCTCCATTATCCACAATCGTCAATTTCTATCTGAAATTAAAAAAAGAGCAAGTTGCAGCAAGTATCATCAAATCGCTAGCCGTGAAAAGTATTTAGAATTTGACTTCAACTTGGATTAAGGCTGAAGAATATTTTCAGAAAAGGATGAAAAGTGAGTTCATAACGAGAAACTTGATCAAAGTCTTATTAAAAGCATTAGAATTATTAACAATAGTTCACATGATTTATACAGGTAATCGAAAGACTGCTACTGATTATTTTGAAGAGCAAGTTTTTGGATTTTAGATGCTCATGCTGAAAATTACTTTTATGACAACACAACAAAATAAAGTTGAAATGCTTAATTTTGAATATGTTCCGTTTACTAATCAACCATTAATATCGAAAGAAGATCGTACGGCAATTAGTGATTTAATGCATAGATGTGGTTCGATAACAGGTGAAATTATTTTGAAAGTGATTTATATTCTTTTTGATAAACATTGAACCCATTTGGTTATCGAAACATGAAATGAGTGCTATCAGAAGATATTAAATCATAAATGGATAATAGAAAAAATTGTAGGGACAATCGCCACCACCAGTATCGAAAGTTGATGTCGAATGAAGCCTACTTAGCTCACATAAGAAGCTATTTCTCAAAGCTTTTGAAATGGAATACTTAATTTCTTGTCTTCGTTCTGGGAAGCTTTTAGTAGTACTGGCTTACAATTGTGTTTATTATTATCTAAGGTCCGATAAAACTACCCAAAATGGAACATACTAAAGAAAAGATAGTCATTATCATAAGAGAAAATGGTGGTAAATGAAGTACTGAACACATAGCATCTTTAAAAGCCTTTGCTATTTCTGGTGGTTTTCTTATCGATGACTCTGTCAGGCTACTTGGGCTATATAGAAAATGAGGAGAATAGTTGGAAGCTGGCGAATCGTTTCCAGATTGTTGTAGTTTATCAATTTCTTTCAATCGACTATAAATATGATTAACAACTTCACATTCCATCATATCTTCAATATTCAAATAACCATCAATATCTAAAACACCATCGATTTTATGACCATCTACTGTTAATAACATAATTCGATGGCTTTGACGTGTTTTTAATAGATCACGTATTACACGCGATTCCAAACCACACCAGTCTTTTCGTTCATATGCATCACACATAAAAACAATAATCAGTTTTGTTTGATACCGATAAATTGTTTGTAAATATAAATCAAGATTTAGACGAGCCAGTTCAGCTTTATAATAAGCATCAAAAAATACACGATTACATTGTTGTCCACCATTAATTTTTTGACATAATTTATCAGCTATTCCTTCACGTTCTCGAATGCCACCGGGAAATAAAAAAGCAACATCAAATCGATAAGCATATTTGTCAATGAATAATGTATCAAGTAAATGACCAAAACGAATAAAATCTTTAAGAAGATTTTTAATTAAATCTAAGTTTTTCTGATTCGATGGATTTATTTTAGCTTCAAATACAGCTTTATAACATTCATTATTCTAACAAGAAAAAATAGAAGAGAAGTGTTATGTAACATCGAACACTTATATATGTTAAATATCTAAATATGTAAATATCTAAGAGGCCTATAACCTATAAAAGATGAACCTGCACAAACTGTAAATATCCAACTAGCCTATAAAAGGTGAAGCTGCACAAACTGCACATATATAAATGTCTAAATATCTAACTAGGCTACAAAACGTGAACCCGCACAAACTGTAAATATCTAAATATCCAACTAACCTATAAAAGGTGAACCTGCACAAACTGTAAATATATAACTAGCCTATAAAATACGAAGCTGCACAAAGTGTAAATATCTGAATATCTAAATAGGCTACAAAATGTGAACCTCCACAAACTGTAAATATCTAAATATCCAACTAACCTATAAAAGGTGAAGCTGCACAAACTGTAAATATCTAAATATCTAACTAGCCTATAAAATGTGAACCTGCAGAAACTCTAAATATCTAAATATGTAAATATCTAAGAGGCCTATAAAAGGTGAACCTGCACAAACTGTATAAAATATAACTAGCCTATAAAATACGAAGCTGCACAAAGTGTAAATATCTGAATATCTAAATATCTAACTAGGCTACAAAATGTGAACCTGCACAAACTGTAAATATCTAAATAACTAACTAGCCTATAAAATGTGAAGCTGCATAAACTGTAATTATGTGAATTTCTAAGTTCATGAAAGTGCAACTTGTGTTTTCAGAAATGCCAATACCAGTTTTGGAGATGCAAATTAATCGCGTTTTGGATTCTAGAATGCAAAGTCAGTTGTTTTTGGATCTCAGAATGTAAAATCAGTCTTTTTTGCAGTTCAGGATGCAAGATGCCAAAAAAAGCCGAAATTTCATGTTGCATTTTTCTAACAAGAAAATGCCACATGTGTGTCTTAGTCATTATGTGGAACTGACTACCTGTGCCTTTAATGTTTCCATACAATCAATACAAAATGATACATTACGTGGACATTTTTATACTTGTCTTGGTGTTATCTATCGAAGAGAAGGTCATTTCAAAGTCGCTGAAGAAACATTTTTGAAAGCGTTGCAGTTTACACACTAGATGGGCTTGAGGAGGGGACTCTTTACAATAATATGGGATCGTTATACTATGAACTTGATGATTGTGCAGAAGCAGAAGAAAACTTTGAAAAAGGGATTAAAATATTCGAGCAAGCTTGGCCACTAAATCATTCTGATCTTGGATTATTGTATAACAATATGGCAGCCATTAAACAAAAGACAAATAATTATAAAGATGCATTGATGTACCTTCAAAAATCTCTTGATATAATGTTACCAACATTGCCTTCAAACTATCCCAGATTAGCACACATTTATAACAGTATTGGTACAATCTATTCTGATGATAACGATTTTGAAAATGGACTAAAAAATTATGAAACTGCACTAGAAATCTGTGATTATTTGCCATCAAACCATGACTTGACTGGTACAAATCTTTACAACAAAGGAGAGTCGATCAACGGCAAGGAAATATAGATAAGGCTTTAGAATACTACCAAAATGCTCTACAGATTCAGTTAATATCAGAGCATCCTGAACGAGCACTCGTATACAATGCCATAAGTGATGTATACCACCTGAAGAACTACCAAGAATTAGCACTGGATTTTTTGCAAAAAGCTCTTGATATTCGACTGAAGACTTTACCGTTAAATCATCCTTTATTAGCCAAAATGTATGATAATTTTGGTCCAATCTATCGACAAATAAAAGATTATCAAACTGATCTGTTAAATCACGAAAAAGCTGTTGCTGTTCATTCAGACTATCCACCAAAACCAAATCGTGAGAATATCGCACATACGTATAGAAACATGGCACTTGTACACGACAAGTTAGATAAGTGGGCTAAGATGCATCGAATTATTTTCAAATAGTTAAATTAATGACGATAATGATTGAGAACGCAATAATAAATTATGAATTAAGTAAAAAAAATCAATTAAAATCCACTACACTAACGCCGGTTGACAATTACGAAATTACTTCGATTCTATCTTCTTAAGTGAAGAATTTCAATACAGAAAATAAGAGATAACCACCTTTATAATCATGAAAATAGAGTGCTTTCGATTAGAGAGACGTTTCTTTATTCAAGACACATGAATCAAATGTGACAGACGATGGTTGATTCAAAATAAAAGATAAAATACAAAATAGATAAACATAACTTTTCCTTTTTTCACAATAGATGACGACTGAATGCGTTCTACATATCATTTTATCTTTTATTTTGAATCCACTATCGTCTATCACATTTGACTGATGATGTCCGTAGTGAAAGTTCTTGTAGACCCCAAGATCTTGGAAAAAACACCAAGAAGTCAAGATCTAGGATTCTTGAATCTTTCGCTCAAGACCTGGAAACATCTTGGCTTACTTTCATATGGAGTCGAAATAGATTTGACTGGAGTTTTTTTGCAGACGAGTTGAAGAAAAATCTTTTTTGTAAGTTACTTATTAGCATAAGGACATGACTAATTCGGAAATATCTCTGCTCAGCTCTTTTCCGTTACCAAGATAAGAGGCATTATTTCCTAAAAACTGGCTCTTATTTATTGCTTCAAAGGCAAGATTTTTTTGGTGAAATTGATTATTTAGGCAGCTGTAGCTTTGTACTTAGATTCTCTGGCAGTTGTAATTTTATAAAAACGTCTTCCGTGGGCGGCGAGAGCGCGCAAAGTTTCCAAATTTTGGACTTTT